AGAGAGAGAGAGAGAGAGAGAGAGAGAGAGAGAGAGAGAGAGAGAGACCTGTTACTTTTCCTGGATAATAAATATATTTTTCTTAACCCTAGATAATTTTCCTGCAACTCTAAGGACATGGTTATGACTCTTCACTTACCATCAGTGTCTGCTGTTTTAATAACAAAATGCTAAATTATTTAAGACATAATTCGATGACAATATGAATTCGAGTTTGAGCATTCAATCAATAGGCCATAATATTACAGTGTGTCTCCCAGAACAAGATAGTTCAGTTTTGTACCAGTGTATCCATTATCTGGAACATTATCCAAAAAACAAATGAAGGTGGCTAGACCTTAAACATACTCCCAACTCATCTGGAATAAGTTTTGTTCTTCTCTACTTTTTCTGGATTCCATACTTGAATGTCTCCTGTTGAGTCACCTTCTAATTTTCCTTTGGCTGTCTTAATGTGTTAGTAACAAGTATAAATCATTTCACACTGGAATAATGAGCATATTTAAATATGAACTGCTATCTCAGAGAGTTTTAAACAACCCTCCCTTTGGCAATTTAAAATTCATTTGGTAGGGGCGCCTGGGTGGCTCAGATGGTTAAGCGTCTGCCTTCGGCTCAGGTCATGATCCCAGGGTCCTGGGATCGAGTCCCGCATCGGGCTCCCTGCTCCTTGGGAGCCTGCTTCTCCCTCTGCTTCTCTCTCAATCTCTCTCTCTCTCTCTCTCTCTCTCCCTCTCTCTCTCCATCTCTCATGAATAAATAAATAAAATAAAATAAAATAAAATTCATTTGGTATTTGTTTTTTTAAATTGCCAAGCCTCATTTGAAGGTGCTTGCCAGGAACAGCCTGAGTTGTAACTTAAAGACAGACAGATGCATCCTACTATAGAACAGAAAACAAGTAATTCTAAGTACTGGAGACGATTTGGGGGAAGTCCTTGTATATATGTAATAGAGTAGAAGGCCCACCTTGCAAGTACTGCTAACCAAAATGAAAGGGGAGATAACCACATCCAGTTGTATAGAATTTTCTGTGGGAGGGAAAAAGTAAATAAAACATAACCTTCGCACTGAAGGAGCTTATAACCTAACAGTAAGATTAGGCTTAAGAACTATCATGTGTCCGTACAGGGAGAGGACTGTGGGTTTTGGAGTCAGGAAGACTGAGATTCACCTCTCCTGGCTCTGTGACACTGACTGCTTGGTGACACAGACTCATCATTTAAAACCTGGTGATAAAAAGACATCATAATATTGATAGAAGGCTGAAATGAAAGAAGGCATGCATGGGACATGGAACTGTCCAGTCTGCAATTTTCATGCAGGAAATTCCAAACCCCCCAATAAAACAGAGTTAATAGCACTTGCTATTGTTGTGAACAGTGTTATCTGCTCAAAAAGCTGAACACCTAAAAGTCAATTTTCATGAAATAATACGTAAATTAGGGCACCTGGGTGGCTCAGTCGGTTAAGCGTCTGCCTTCAGCTCAGGTCATGATCCCAGAGGCCTGGGATTGAGTCCCATGATGGAGTCCCATGTTGGGCTCCCTGCTTAGCAGGGAATCTGCTTCTCCCTTTCCCTCTGCCCCTCCCACCCTGCTTGTGCACTCTCTCTCTCTCTCTCAAATAGGTAAATAAAATTTAAAAAAGAAATAATATGTAAATTAAAATAGTAAAACACAATTCTGTGCTGAACCAGGTATAGACTTACTATAGAAATCAAAGCTTTTAAGAAAAAAAAATGGGGGTGCCTGGGTGGCTCAGGTGGTTGGACGACTGCCTTCGGCTCAGGTCATGATCCTGGAGTCCCGGGATCGAGCCCCACATCGGGCTCCCTGCTCGGCGGGGAGTCTGCTTCTCCTTCTGGCCCTCCTCCCTCTCATGCTCTCTGTGTCTCATTCTCTCTCTCACAAATAAAGAAAATCTTAAAAAAAAAAAAATGATGGTGTAGGAAGGGAGTTGAAAATGGAAAAAATAGGAGTGCCTGGGTGGCTCAGTTGTTAAGCGGCTGCCTTTGGCTCGGGTCATGATCGCCAGGGTCCTGGGATCGAGCCCCACATCGGGCTCCCTGCTCCGCGGGAAACATGCTTCTCCCTCTCCCACTTCCCCCTGCTTGTGTTCCCTCTCTCACTGTGTCTCTCTCTGTCAAACAAATAAATAAAAAATCTTAAAAAAAAGAAAATGGAAAAATAACCCATTATTCATTGGTATTTTTCAGTTAATTAAGAAGACTCTTATTATTAGATTTTAGAGGCAAAAGTCCTCAGTTCAGCTCAAGAGAACAACAGTATTCTTTGGAATCAGAGTTTAAAAGCTACTGGCAGCAAAGCTCAAATAAAATAAGAAATGTTATATACCTTAAAGCACAATATCTTACACAATTGCATTATGTTTTTCCACACGGTTAACTAATTTGAGGCCTCATTATGCATCAGGAGCTGTACAAGGGGTGGCTGATATTAAGATGAGTAGTCATGGTGCTTACTTAGGCTTTATTTTAAAAAAGAGGATGTGAGGACAAAGAACAGTTTACATACAGGTAGATACCAGTGCAGTGTTCCAGTGGGGTTATATATGGATTACTGAATCCATACCAAAGAACACGCATGCTGTAGACAGGATCGAGTCCCATTTTATTTAGGCAGATGCACAGAAACTTAATGGAAGCCAAAGAGCACCAAAGAGAAGCAGTATCCCTCCAACCAGAAGAGTTCCTGATCAAGTGTGTAGCTGCTGGTGACTCTGTCCTTGATGATAGAGCCTGGTCATATCAGGAAAGTCTAAATTCTTTCTGGAGCACTGTTCATACATACCCAGGGCTTATGTTACGCTCAGGACAAAATTATTCGCACACTCACTGTACGTCCCTTTGAGAAGATGACTAGACTTATCAGGTTCTCCAGACCTTCTGCCAATAAGCACCGGAGTCAGTTCTTGGGTGTCTATGAATGATGGCACATCTCCCACTGCTCAAGCAATCATCATTTTAATGATGGTAAAACCAGAATTCAAAGGGGTACAGTTACTTGTCCAATGTCCCTTATAAATATAAATAAGGGGAACCAGAGGAGGATCACCGACTTCATTTTGGGGAAAAGAGTTCTGAAAGAGGCAGCAGCTAGTTAAAAGGATTAAATGGGTACATGAA